AGAAGATAAGGAAAGGGGGGAAGTGAGCCAGCGAGGAGAGGCTAACGTTCGGGCGAGGACCCAAACAACCCACACGACCGCTCCGGTTGACGTGGCAGTGCGCCTTGCTCTAAGATTGATGCAGCCCATCTAACGACAGAGAGAGCGTTTGGGCGAAGTAGTCACAACCCACACGTGTGGGCGTCCCTATTTTTTTAAGAACGACGATAGCTGCCACATGTGTGGGCGTCAAGGGGTTTGCCCACACGTTTTGTGTGGTGTCTAAGAGAACCAGCCCACACGCCTACGTGTGGGCAAAATAACCAGCGTCCATATGCCTTTTTTTCCTTGTGGTCCCTCTCACACGCCTACGTGTGGGCAAAATGCATGACGCCCACACGACCTCTCTCAGCCACCTACCTCACGGTCCCGCACGCCCCGCGTGACAGTCACCACGCGTCCCGCAGTTGCCATGGTCCGGACCCTCTTCAATGTCCGTTTAACTGCAGTTGCCATGGTTGCTCAACTGCAGTTGCCATCTCAGGTCAAGTGCCAGATGCCATTTTGGACAACTGCAGCTGTTGCCATGTATGGTCTGGTTTACTATAGTTGCCATGATTTGAAAACTTTAGAGGTTGCCACCTATTAACACTAAGCAGTTGCCATGTATGGTTTGGTTTACTACAGTTGCCATGATTTGAAAACCTTAGAAGTTGCCACCTACTAACACTAGGCAGTTGCTGTGTAGCGCTCCGAAGAGACATGGCAAAACAATATGTTTGGGTAAAAGAGAGAGTTGCCATCTGATTACAAGCACACTAGGGCAGTTGCCGTGTACCCTGCAAAACACATGGCAACTGACATGTTCGAATAAAAAAAGAGAGAGAGTTGCCATCTGCTTACAAGCACACTAGGGCAGTTGCCATGTACACTGCAAAACGCATGGCAACTGGCAGCTTGGGTGTGGGAGAAAAGACGGGCGTGCGGGCGAGATGACAAATGCCCACACACAAGCTCTTGTGCGTGAGTGAAAGCTGACGTGTGGGCGAACTGCTAAACGCTCACACACCGACCCCTCCGTGTAGTGAAACGGACATGTGGGCGACCGGATGAATGCCCACACACCAGCTCAGTCCTACATGGCACCATAAACACGCCAAGATTCATGCATCCATAAACGGGCGCAGATCAACGCGTGTGGGCAAGATGCAAACGTCTACACGTGTGGACGTTAGTGTTTTCATTTTTTAATCAACACTTGTTCGAGTTCTAGTGAACGAGATCAAGTCACTTTATCTATTGCATGTAACTAATTAAGCTAGAAGCGTGAAGCAGTCTTTCCTTTTTTTTTGAGGGATACAGTCTTTCCTTTTGGTTTGGGTGTCTAGGTGTGGTTCGATGATCTTAGTCCGTAGGATGCATGGTACTAGATGTTTGGATCGTTCGTGGGAAGGTGAAGTTTCCGGCAGCTTTGTTTGTGAGCGTTGCACCGCACAAGTAGATGGATTATGGAGTTTGCCTCAAAAGAAAAAAAGATGGATTATGGATTAAGAGACATATCGCAAAAGCCTGCCCTGTGGTATCGGTGTGTGTATTTCTTCCGGTTCGTAGTGTGTGATGTCCTGTTTGTGTCCGCGAATTCGAGATCAAGGTCTAAAATCTATTTTTTACGTGAATACTTCCTTTGATTGAAGAAGAAAGAATACGCACAAAGGATGGAGACCTCCTATATGCCGCATTTTGCGGCCAATAGGTCGCGCGACGCACAGGGGTCGTGCAATTGGGCCGGCCCATTCGATGTGCGTCAAGGAATGAAAAATTCTAAATCACTAGTTGAGAAGTACTAGTTGCAAAGATCATCCCAACTTCCTAGGTTACGACAAGTGGCGCACATGTAGCGTGCCACTTGTCGCAACCTAGGAGTTTTTCCTTTTTTTCATAGATCCGTTTATTTAAAATGTTTTATCTCTCAAACCGTACGTCCAAATCTTAAACCGCTTTCACCGTCTCACGTCGAGCTCTTCAAAATTAGATCCAATGTTGATAGGTTTTGATGATTTCTTTTTCACGAAAAAAATCGGACGAAAATACTGAATTGGGGAGCACAGGTTTTTTCCCTTTTCGAAAGAGGCACCCCCGTGCCTCTCACGAAATCACAACCGTGCCTCTTGCGGAAGCAAAACCGTGACTCTCACGTAAGGAAAAGAAAAGAGAAAATGCGCCTTTTTCATTTTCCGAGGAGGCACGGGCATGACTCTTGCGAAAGCAAACCCGTGCCTCTCGCAGAAGCGAAACCATGACTCCCGCAAAAAAAATATAAAATGTGTTTTTTTTCGTTTCCGAGAGGCACTGCCGTGACTCTCGGGAAAGCACAACCGTGGCTCTCGCGGAAGCAAAATCGCGACTCTCGCAAAAAGGAAAAAAACAGAAAACACATTTTTTCCCGTTTCCGAGAGGCACGGCCGTGACTCTCGCGGAAGCAAAACCGTAACTCTCGCGAAAGGAATAAAACAGAAAATACATTTTTTTTTAGTTTTCGAGAGACACGATTGTGACTCTCGCGAAAGCAAAACCATGCCTCTCGCAGAAGCCAAACCGTGACTCTCGCGAAAGGAAAAAACATTTTTTGCGAAAAAAATCAATTTTTTTGTCGAAAATCTAAGGAAGACCGGTGAAAAACCAAAACGTAAAAAAAACAGAAAAAACAGTTCAAATAGCTAAAAATGCGTGCGGAAAAATTAAAAAAAATTCAAAGAAAGCACCCAGAACGCGACACATGGTGAATGGCTGCGAGTGCGCCAAGTGGCACTGATCGAGGCTGCCGAAGAAGCGCTCGTTAACTAGTGGCTCCCGAAGAATTCGCTAAAAATTAACATGCTGTAAACGAGGATTCGAACACACGCCCTTCCTTAGTTGCACGTTATGCTCTAGCCACTATGCCAAGCTACCTACTGCAAAAGTTTAGCAGCGGGAGTTTAAATAAACTTTCGCATTAGCGAAAAATTAAAATCAATTCAGCCAATTCCATAAATTAAAACCAATTCAGCCAATTGCAAATTTTCAAAACTTCAGTATTTTTTGGAACATGTGAACAATTTTTGAAAACAAGAACAATTTTCTGAATTAGTCAAAAAAAATTAAGCATGCGGACAGTTTTTTAAATTTGTGAACAAATTTTGAAACATGAACATGTTTTGAATATGTGAAGAAATTTTATGAAAACGAACAAATTTTGAATTTCCCACAGATTTTTCGAAAACATGACCATTTTTGGAATTTGTGTAGAAATTTTTAAAGCATGAACGTTTTTTGAATCTTGAGAACAAATTTGGAAGCGCGGAATTTTTTTTGAAGCGCAGAATTTTTCTGAAGCATGAACATTTTTTGAATCTTGAGAACAAATTTTGAATCGGAGAACAATTTTGGAAAATCCTGAACAATTTGGAAGCACGAACATTTTTTGAATCTAGAGAACAAATTTTGAAATAGGGAACAATTTTAAAAAATCCCGAACAAATTTGGAAGCGCGATTTTTTTGAATATGTGAATAAAAATTGAAATTTGGTACATTTTCTGAATTTCAAAAGTATTGAACTTTTTTGTGTAATGAGAACATTTTTTGGAAACACGAACAAAATTTAAATTTTTTCATTTTTTTGAAAAAAATAAAAAGAAGTAAAAAAGGAAATCCTAAACATTTTGTAAAACTATGGACATGTTCTGAAAAAGAAAAATAAACTTGAAAAAGAAAAGGAAACAAAAAACGAAAAACGAAAAAATGGAAAAGAAACAGAAAACGAAAAAAAGATAAGATAAAGGAACAGAAAAGTAAAAAAAGTGAAAAACCAATAAAAGGAAAAAAAACGGTTCATGAAACCTTCTAAAAGATTCACCAAACCAGAGTGGGGCAGTTCGTAAGTTATGTATGTAAGTGGGCCGGCCCAAAGGACTGCTCGGTCGCTCGCCCTCTACGCGGAGCGTCGGCAGTTTGCTGCAGTGAGCGGCCAATAGGATTTTCCAAAAGAATGGTACACGTAAATCCTATAAGGCGCATTGTACGCACATTGATATTTTATAATAAAAAAAGTTGTGTTTGAAATTTTAGAAATGTTCGGATCTGCGCTGGTGTTGTTCTTAATGTTTTTTTCTGCTATATAAACACCAATGTTGGCTAGGTCTACTTTTTGATTTCTACACAAACAAATGCGTGCCCTCACATGCTGTTTAGGTGCTGGCTGTATATATTACCCGGCGCTGCAAATCGCGTGTTACATTTCTTTGGTCAGACAGATATGAACAAAAGGCAGCCTCTCCTCCACATCTCTGGCGCTTCGGATCGTTCACATGCATAAAAGCAAAGTTGAGTCGACCACCTTTTCCTACTGAATATGAATATGCATATAGGCCATCGCATTCGCATCGCAACGAAGGAAGGAAGATGTGCCTACACCAACAGAGCGCGCTTTGCATCTATGCATGGTCGCAGTTGCTTCCTTAAGAAGAAAAAGATCTCGAGCCGGGAGGACTTGACAGCACGTACCAGCATGCACTCACAGGCCGATCGAGCTAACCATCCATCGACCAGCCTCATGATCAAGACTTGGATTGACAGCCAGCTTTTGAGTTTGCTTTACTCAAGGAACAGAGAGAATAACCAAAGACCAGCCAAAGCTCAGCTCCGGCACGCAGGACCAACCCATGCATGCATGCATCTCGAGCAAAGAATCCAATCAAGTTTGCTTTAAACATAACCAAATCAGGGTGTCTGCCCAAACAGGGTTTCGATTAGCTGGTAAAAAGCTCAATTTTACTCGAGTACTAAAATACTAGGGGCAAAATCGACAATAAAGGCAATTGAGAGGCACTATAAATTGCGTTCCCTGGCGCCACATTGGTGCAAGGGCAAGGCAGAGCGCGAGAGAGTACTGCTCTGCTCAACATTCGTTCCGTGTGCTCTGCTCTTGACATCTCCATCTACCCCTCCTTTCACAGAAGCAGAGCAGAGGGTGCGTGACAGAGAGATGAAGGGCGTGAGGGGCATGGCCGTGGTGATGGCGCTGGCGCTGGCGCTGGCCGGCATGGTGGCGACCTCGTCGGCGGCGGTCTACCAGGTCGGCGGCTCCTCCGGGTGGACCATCCTCGGCAACGTCAACTACGCCGACTGGGCAGGGAAGCAGAGCTTCAAAGTGGGGGACGTCATCGGTAAGTTCCTCGTTTCAGAGTAGTTTTCAGGCTAGCTACACATCTTTGTTCCTCTGTAGTAGCTTCCTTCTTGCTGAACTTTGATACATCCTTGGAGTCATAAACTCTATGCCAAAGAATTGTGAGGTTCTCTGTTTGTCGATGCAAGTAACTGCAAATCTTCCAAGTAGTAGTAGTTTTCTTAAACAGTAAAATAATACTACCTCCGTATCAAAATATAAGATGTTTTTTAGGCTAAACTAACCTACAAAAATGTCTTACATTTTGATACAGAGATAATACTAGTTTTTTTTTGCGATTAAAGAAAATAGTGGAGTAGTTAAGTAGCACATGCTGCGATTATTGAGCAGGCAGCATCTCTTCTCCCATCGCCATGATTACTGATGCAAATATAGAGTGCTAATGACTTGTCGCCGTCAGATGAGTACTTTAGAAATGCACCGTCCATCCTGTTGTGCGTCTTGCGTTCAGATGAAGAGTCTTGCTTTTAACCATGCCCTGAAAAACAAAATTTGAGAAAAAAATATAGCACTGTCTTTGATTTTACTGCACGCTGCAGTACACACCTACTCTCTCCGTTCCGAATTACTTGTCTTGGATTTGTCTAGATACGAATGTATCTAGCAGGCTAGATACCTCCGTATCTAGACAAATCCAAGACAAGTAATTCGGACGAAGGGAGTACAAGTTTTGCGTGGTTGGTGGGTCTTAAAGGCGTTCACAGAGGTTTCATGCTGTCTGCGCACAGTATTTACATGACCCATAAGTTTAGCTCACCCTCTCTGCATTACTATTCTGTGTCTGAAGAAATGCAGAGTTCAGGTGGGCAGATCGTTACTTCTTCTTTTTTCAAATGAAAAGAAAATCTGCATGGACCACTTGACCTAGTGAACTCTGAATTCACGAAACTGCACATGCCATAAACCATGGCAGTTGTGCTGCCCCATTTATTGTTCTCGCTGGTTGCTAGATCTGCCAATGCACTGCCTGAGCTTTTAGGGCATCTCCACCCACGCCCCCAGGCCACTTTTTTAGCACCGGCAGCAAAAAATTCTTCCACTCACACCCCCAAGTCCTGGTTTTTCGCCGGATTGAAGCAAAAACAGCGCCGGCGACCGCAGCCCACACCCAGCCTACCGGGGGGCGTTTGGGACCGCCGGTACTCCCTTTTGCATGCCGAAACCCCACAGGTCAGCCTCTCTTCCCTCTCTCTCTCCCCGCTCACCCACATGCAAAAGGAATCTCGCCCACTTTTCCTCGCTTCTCTCCCCGCTCGCCGCCCGCCTCCTCGCCGCACCGCCTCGCGCCGCCTGCCTCCTCGCCGCTCCGGCCGCCAGAATCGCCTCTCCGAGCCCCAGGAAGCGGAGGAGGAGAATGAGCGAGGAGAAGCAGACGCTGCGGGCGGCCACATGGAGCGCGTCGGAGCCGGCGTGCTATTGGCTCCGTTGGCGAGGAGGAGCTCCGCGAGGTCGAGCAGCATGCTCCCGGACTCGTCCTCAGCGTGGGGCGTGGCGTGCCGGGCGCCCTCCTTCCTCCTCCTCCCTCCTCTCCGTCCTCGTCGACGCCGGCCACGGAGGGCGCGCGTGGCAAGGCGCGGGCAGGCACGGGCGCGGCCAGGCGCCCCCTTCCTCCTCCTCCCTCCTCTCCGTCCTGGTCGGCGCCGGCCACGGAGGGCGCGCGCGGCCAGGCGCGCGCGGGCGCGGGCGCGGCCAGGCGCCCCCCTTCCTCCTCCTTCCTCCCTCCTCCCTCCTTTCCTCGCTCCTTGACCTCGCGGGCGGTGTGGCTGCTGCACATGCCGTGCCAAGGAGGGATGGTGGTACGCGGCGGCGAGGCCCGTGCCTAGGAGCGTGCGGCGGACGGTGGCGGGCGTCCTTGATGGTGCTGAAGACGGTGTCGAGCTGCGGTGCCGCCACGCATCCTCGAAATGCGTCTTGGGTGGGGGGACGGCTGGGAAAAATTTCGTCCCAGGGTCAAAATCTTCGCCGGCAGCCCCCCAGGCGGCGAAAAAAACGCCTCCTGGGGGGGTCAACGGCTGAAGATGCCCTTAGCACAGAAGAGTTAGAAAATGGCTTCAGTACTGCATTTTGGCCATGTGGTGTGCCTGATGCTCCAGCATGCCAGTTGCATTTCAGTACATAAGCACCTAGCAGGTCTGAAAGCCTTAGGAAATCATTTGCATATTGTCAAGCTACTGGGAAATGAGTAATAGCCTCATCTTCCAGGATAGTAGTGTGGACTCCTCATTGGTTGTAAAGTGAAGCACTTTGACACTTTCAATCATGAGTAAACCAGAAGCATGTGTGTACCAGCTTGCTAGCTATAGCTTTGGCGCGGAAAGCCAGTGTACTCCTTTCCTTCTGTCGATCGACCGATCTACCTACCTTGTGATGCACGTTTTGGTTCCGTTCCCGACACTTTGCGTGATCATTTCATCCATTTGGTGTGATCCAAAAGATGATCTAAAAGTAATCAGTTTCTAATTAATTGCCTGCGGCGATCATGGGTTCATGGCGCCAATCTGATTTGCGTGTCTGCACTGCACGCAGAGTTCAAGTACCCGCAGGGCATCCACAACGTGCTGGAGGTGAACAAGGCGGACTACAGCAGCTGCACCAACTCTACGCCCATCGCCACGCACACCTCCGGCGACGACAAGGTCACCATCAAGAGCCCCGGCCACCGCTTCTTCATCTGCGGCGTGCCGGGCCACTGCACCGCCGGCCAGAAGCTGAACGTCCGCGTGCTCAAGACACAGAAGGCCCGCTCCTCGGCCCCGTCCCCGTCCCCGGCGCCCTCCGCCACCGCGCCGGCGCCGGCCGCGGCGTCCCCGCGCGCCGGAGACACCAGCGGCAGCAGCGCCTCGACCCCTCCCGCCGCGGCGACGACGTCTGACGGAGGGTCAACGACGACCGCGCCCGCGCCGAACTCCAACGGCGCCGCCGTCGTCCGCGCGGGCTATGCCGTGGCATTGGCCATGGCCGCGTCCATGGCGATGCTACAGTAGTTTGCGATCCTCCATTCCATCGGTCTGGCGTGCATCTCTCGGTGTCCGATTCTTTTTCCTGTTATGCGTGGAGTGTTAATTCTTGGTACTTGATTTCTGATGGTTTGAGGGCATGTTCGGTTTGGCAAGGATTGCCGTGGATTAAGAGTGATTGATTGGCAGGACTTTGAGCTATATTCCCTCCTAATCCCTGCCAAACCTCCTCAAACCGAACAGGGCAAGTGTTTTGCACCTTATCTCTGTTTTTACCTGTTTTTGACTCTGGTGTGTATCCATGGATATTTTGTACCTGTGTTTCGTATATCAGCGCTGTAAAAGTTACATTTTGCATATGCATTATTTCTTGGGAAGGTAATTGTGATTTTTCTACTGTTGTTGGACGATTTTTTTTTTGTGAGAATACTGTTAGTGGATTTAGGGTGTGTTTGGTTCCAGTCTTGAGCAACTCTAGGAGAATCTCTAGAAGTCTGCATTGACCCTCAAAACTGCAAATACAGGTTTAAACCCAACTCTATCAGAATCGCTAAAGTGTAGAATATCCATATATTTTCAGGGTATAACCTAAAAAAATCACCTGCCTCCTAGGACCTTCCCCAAATAATCCCATCGTTGGCGGGAGGGAAGTTTCGCCCCAACCAACCTCCAACCTCTTCTTCCTTCCACGTCGCCTAAGTGACTTTGTTTGTCAACGCCATGGACACTGCCTACCACCCCGTGTGCTCTCCCCTCCTCTGCGTGACCTCATGTCGCTGCCCATGCACGCCTCCCGAGCCAGTTGTGTCGTCGCACTATCAGCATGGAAGTGTGGTGCCATCGTTTAGTGCAGCGCCATCTCCCCCTCCCCCTACCCACACACACCGTTGATGTCCAGCACCGCCTCCTCGAGGACCCGGTGCCTCCTGGCACAAGCATCCCGCGTCGATGCATCCTCCGATCGTAGCCACGAAGGTGCCTCAGAAGACTAAGGCAGCGCCGACGTGCGGTCGGGTCCTACCATCCCCATGACCCCTCCCCTCGAAGCTCTTCCATCGGCTGCCATGGGCGGCGACGACGTTGGCATGGTAGACACTACTCAGGTGTTTGGTATAATGCCAACATGGTGAGGGAATCGTCTTTTTTTGGGGTCCAATTGTGGTTGTAGCTTTGGTAGTGAATGTTCTCGTTGAATGCTAGTGATCAAGCCATAGCTGGTGTTGATTCTTTCATGAGCATGATAAACAATCTCGTGGGCCATGGACAACATTTATTTCTCAATGTCAAATGCTCATGTAGAAGGAAAAAATATGGCATGCAGGTTAGCACGTTGGTACTCTGAGTGATCGAAAGAAAGAAAAATCATTAGTCAATTATAGGATAGATGAGGATGTGGCCTTGGTGGTGGCATGGGAGACTATGAAAATTGATGCGGTAAGATGAATGATCAATCTAACATCAACTATTGGAGGTGCACTGAAGAGAACGACCATCACAATGTGAAGATACCTTCCAACCGAACACTCAGTCACTCGCACATCATTGAAGCCCGATTCAAGAGTTTTGCAACCGGTGGGCGGGACTTCCTCCAAGTGGTGTGCCATTGTTGGATCATGTGAGTACTATGATGATATCGTCAACTCTCCAGTGTACTTGATATCTTGAAACCATATTTTTCTTATGAATTGTTCAATAGAATGGGTGACCTACATCCAAGAGAAATACAAGACAATACCTAGTTAAAACGAAAGCCATTTATCTTCTACCACAGTTGGACATTGCTCAAGAATAATGCTAAAGAGTGGCATACAAGATGACGAGGCACCATCAAATAGACCGACATGAAGCTACTCCTCCTCTTTAGAGGACGAAGGGAGATGGCGAGGGGGAAGCGGTGGAGATGAGGAGGGGAGATCAAGATAACTCTGGGGTTGTGGCGCCCCCATCCAACCCTCAGGCATCCCTCTAAAATAACTTGGGAGATGTTTTTTACTATGTGTTTTGTGTCTCAATACTACAAAACGTGACATACACACTTTTGCTTTGGGAATCCATTTCTAGAAAGGAATTGTCAATTGGGAATTATCGCTCTTGGTGGGCTTAGGGTTCTTTTCCCCCTCCATAGAGGGATCAACCATCATGGGCCCCATGTGCCTTTTCCCGTACTCAAGGGATTTCTCAGGTGAAAATTCTATATCTGGTTAAGTGGGAGTCGTGGTGGCTATTTAATTCCTAGAGAAATTGCTTTGGTGATCTTGAAAAGCAATAGAGGCTATTTTTGGTCGGCGGTGGCAATGCCAGTGGTTAAGAGAGTGTAGTTGGGAGTTTAGTCGATGAATGGATTGACATATTTAGTTTGTTTCTCTATCACCCTCTTTTGTATTGAGATTTCTAAATCCGCGTACCTGGATCATATGTGATGGGGTGGAGAAAGTGGCAGGTCTAGGATTTTAAGCTAGGCTGGGGCAATTTCACTTCTTCAATTGCGTAGAATAATTTATTTGTGTTCATCACTAATGAATCAACGATGTAATTCTACAATGCAAAAAGGTATAGAAAATTATGAAGATTGAAGAGAGGATGATTCAAGGATCTAGGACATGTTCCGAAGAGAGGAATCACCCATGATTAGTTTATTTCGTCAAAGTAGAGCCATAAGCCTATATAGTTTCTAGTAGCTACTGCAATGCATGGTGCCACCCTATGTTGTGCATTTGCATCCTAGCCCCTGCTAGCTACTGTCATATTCTCCCTTGTCGCTAGGGCTAGTACTAGTACTCCCTTTGCCAAAGTGTAGTGCATATGATTTTTTTAAGGTCAAACTTAAGTTTGACCAAGTATTTATTGATAGTGCAAAGAAGAAAGTACTAATGGGGTTGGGATTCCTGCTGCAAGTCCCTACGTTCCGCTTGGCGGTGCGCTCACTTCCTGTTGCAAATAGTGATCGACCAAGATCCCTTGGCCTCAACGCAAATCGAGAGATGCAACTGGGATTGATTCGGCTCTTCACTTCACTACTTGGCCTAGGCCAAAATCCCTTTTCTCCTTTCCTAAGATATACATATGGCATTGCACTAGTGGCCACACCCTACACCCCTATTGGACCCCCCTTGTCAGAGATGGTGTACTGCATTTGCTATGTATCACTTATTGCTATACAAAAATGCGCTATCACCTACACTAATAAGAGGTTTCCTAGTTCTATTACCGACTTGGTACTGAGAAACGTGGATACCCAGCAGTAACCAAATTTATTGTTGGGTAACCAAAATTATGTTCCAGAGGACAAAGATGTCGAGTTGTTCATGACACCTTCTGTCTTTCTTTCGCGTTAATGCTTGAGGCGGATTGGTACTTCGCCCTAATCTACATTATACAACATGGCACAATTAGATTATAGTAGATGTTCTAGAATAACTAAAAGCATGAATGTTCCAACTTTACTTTAGCGAAATGTGCAGCTTCCACTTTTTCACCAAGTAGGCAACTTGGTTGTAGGGAAAATAATTTATGTCAAGAACATGTATTCGGGGATGTGGATGCCATATGAAAACTCTAGGCAGAGAGAGAGAGAGAGAGAGAGAGAGAGAGAGGGCTTTTAACCAAACTAGATGAAACCCCGCGCGTTGCTGCGGGACATATTCAATCGACACCAAAGCCAACATTGGGTTGTCGATGCAATAAAATAGCCAACATGATCCTATATTAGTAAAGGAAGCATGGGAGAATTAAGAACTCAAACAACATATGTATGAAATATCACACATGAACTATTTTCGTGTGGAAACTATTATATCCAACAAACGAATGGCAAAGAAACACCGATGAGGTTGTCGGTCTCACCCATATCTCCAAAGGAACTACTCAAGGATCATTTGCCTTACCTCAAGATAACTCAACAGTTCCATTTTGTATGTGGAATTGCACATTGTGTATACTTGCGAACTTTATTTCCTACAATAGATAAGTAATTTTCTGCAATACAATGTTGATTGAATGATGCAAGGAGTGAATACCTTGTATTGCAACTTAGGTTATCCTCCATGTCACAAGTATGATTCAATCTAAGAGAGCAGGAACAAATTTAATTGCTTAAGTGAAACATCATTGGATATTATTGAACACTGGAAATAAAACTTACAATATAATAAAAGATGATCTCTCAAAACAATTTAAATAACATAATCCCGGACATCTCAGTTCTCACATGAAATTCTGGTGCAGCACTGCCACCATAATACTTTCTCTCACTTAAAATGTTGATCTCTCCAAATGGCGATGCTTTGTGGCACAAAGTGATAATTTTTTTCAAGGGGTGGAAATTCCATACCAGACTAACAATCGACTTAGAAACCCAATTTATTGTCTTTAGTTAACTGAATATTTTCAAATGGTGTGGAGCATGAGAACTTCCATCTTCACTTATAATCTTGAATAAAGAATGAAAAAAGGTTGTTTTTATGCTTACATAATATCTATGGAGATGCATTTTCCTCTTTGACCTTCCATCTCACCAGGCATGAAAGAATAACAACTCGAAACAGTAACAGAACACAGAAAGAAATTACGATGCAAAAACCGAACAAACATGCGGATTCCAGAGTGGACACACATCAGGACGCATAGTCTGGTGTAACGCAGCATACCACACATTCGGTAGACGTCGGCAACATCAGGGCACGACCGGCAACAGCAGCGCACGACCACCACGGCCAGCCACGGGATTGAAGCTGTACTGAGGCGTGCAGGCCACATGATACTGTGAGGCAGATGTACATGCACTCGTGAGTCACAAATTCAACAAAGACAAAAGGATATGTACCACCGCTGAGTTTGGAGAAACAGACGGCAATATTTTTCTTGCGGGTGTACACAAAAGGAAGCACAAAAACAAACAGAGTTTAACTACCACGCGCCGCATTTAAAACTTTCCCAGCAGACAAATCTGTCGAGCTATTGGTGGCACACGAGAGCCTTCTCCATTTGTTCAGACAGCCCTGCGTTTCTTTCTCGGTTTTTTCCTTACG